AATATATATATATATATATCCTATCAGTAATGTAAAATTTCTTTTTTACTTATAAGTTATATATTCCAAACTAATAGGTGTACCAAGCCATTTGAATGTAGACTATATCAAAGAAGCCTTGATGAAAATAGAAGATGTATATTCAGTGGAAGATTTAAATATCTGGTCTCTCACTTCAGGAAAATCTACTGCTATCGTTCACATACAGCTAAGTATGTTGCTGATGATAAATGTGGGCCTAGGGTTGGTGGATTTCTGTCTTTGGAACTAAACATCTGTGCTTGTAATTAAGTAGAAAGACTTTTCTGCTGTAGAGATTTGTTTTAAGGGAGAGTGAGGCTTTTCAGAAGTAAGTCGTAGGTCAATATTGACAGCACAAGAGTAATTTTATAGATGAGATCATATACATTTACTTTTACAGTAGGCTAAAAGCATTATGTTTACCATGTTCTTTTCTACATAAGAAAATCTAGACCCTCATGTTTATCTCTTTAAAATCATTCATAGATTGATGGATTGATGCTATTTTATTTTTATCAAAGAAATATGTGCACATGATTTAAAAAGGTGCATATGGTCTTTAATGACAGTCTGTGGTTGATGTCTAGTGTTCTCTACCTGAGAGCAGACTGGGAAGATTGCAGTAATGGGAAGCCATTCTGGGTGTGTGAGCTGACTACTTCACTAACTGAATAGCTTAGAGAGTCTGGAAATCAGACTAATAAAAGCATGTTCATCGTGTACTAAGGTTACTTTTCCCTGTATCTTGTTCACTAATGCGCAGCTATGTACAATGAAAAATAATATTTTCTTGCCATTGCAGTTCCTGGAAGTTCATCTAAATGGGAGGAAGTACAGTCCAGAGCAAAGCATTTATTATTGAACACATTTGGCATGTATAAATGTACTATTCAGCTTCAGAGTTACAGGCAAGAAGTGGACAGAACTTGTGCAAATTGTCAGAGTTCCAGTCCCTAATTTTATCTGTGTTGGGGACTCCTGCCTTATTTATTCTGCAGTCACAGACTCGAGAGCAATAAATGCAAACCTAAATGCGAAAGTGGGATTCCTGACACCTGTGTTCACACCAAGCACCAGTTTCTCAAAACAGTCCAGCCGGACAGTGCTAGTCTGTTTAATGATAAAATGAGACTTCACCGTGCTCTTCAGATGAAAATGTTTCCAAAACACTGTTTACAGAATGAGATGTGACTCTACAGATACCTCACAGAAGACAATCCAAGACCATACTTCTTTAATTTGACAGAGTCCATGTCTTAAAGGAAGCATCAAGAATTCAGTATTTGCATTTACAAATACTTTTAAAGGGACATTTTCTATTAAGCCAGTGCTGGAAAACTGTATTTTTTAAAATTACGTAATCTTGACACCCAGCTTCTGGAATTGCTGCTCTCTTTTTACCGATATTCCTTCTCAACAGATTTCACAGAATCCTAGTAATTACCCAGAGAGTGGAATAAGCATGTATTCCCCAGTGTTTCAGAAATGTTTTTTTTTCTTTTCACAAATAAGTCTTAATGTTATTGTGATAGTTATACTTTATAAACAGCTTTTTCCAGATGTTACAGGGTTTTAAAACTCAAAAATTAATGTTTTTGATTATTTGTAATCATATCAGAACCAAATCTTTACATATTGTGGTCTCTCTTGTTAAATTACCAAAATTATTCTGAATGGCAAAAGTTAGTCTTAAACTCAAATTACTATATGATAATTTCAAACAAAATAAATGAGCAAGGATGGGGTTGGGAGTTGGAGATTGGTGTCTTCCCAGAATCACTTTTACTCTCCATGGAAGTGTTTTCAGAACAGGAAGAGACTGCACCAGGATGTAATGATCTTCTGTTCCTTTAAGAACTGTCAACGTCCTCTACAAAAAGGTTACGTGGTGCCTTGGTGCCTGCCTTCATACCAGCTCATCTGTGGGTGCCCTTCAGGGTAAACTTCTAGAGGGCGAAGGTTCAGTTTGTAATACCCGCCACTCACCTGCAGATCAGTTCCATTACTCCAGGGAGAATATCTGGTTTCTGATGCAGGCTAGGAATTCTCCATGGACTCTAGAAACTCCAAGATGTAGTTTTGAGGTTTTCCACTATTATTAGAGCAGAAATGTGCAGAGAGGTTGAGAAGCTATTCCTTTGGGAGACAAAAAAATGTAAAGAATTTTTGACCTTATGTGAGTATTTTTGACAGTGCCAGGGTAGGGTGGGGCATTAAATCTGTTACGGGGAGGCCAGGCATAGGCGTTTCCCACTGAAGGCAGCCTCCTTGGTAACAGTTGTGTTAGAGGAGCCGTGAATATGCATGTTTCATTTTGCAACCATCAGTTTTGAGATTATCTGCACATCGGGAGTCCTTTTACAGCAGGGACAGTTTCTTATATCAAGAGTGGCTATAGTTGTGGGGCTCCTCAGAGAGTCAGTAGAGGAACCATGTACGGGCAGGGTGTGCATTGAAATTCCACACAGGCGTGCAGATGACCCACAGTGTAAACAAAGAACAGGAAATAGATTTCATCTTTTACCAAGCACCTTGCCATAAGCAGGCCTAAGATAAAACCTGTATTTACCTAAAAGGTGGTTAGGAGTTGATGGTACCAATAAAAGGGTTGATGATACCTAGCAAATACCCAGTAGATGTTTGTTAAATTGAACATTTATTTTATGGGATTCCTACTGTGAATCTATTTAAAATAATGATTTGAATTTCTCAGAAACATTTAAACTATTTCGATCAAAATGCTGTCACATACAGGAGGCAAGTAAGATTAAACAAGAAGCATCCCAGTGTATGTGTGGACATCAGGTACCCAGCGAGAGAAAGGAAACTATACGCTTACAGTTTTTTCATCTCTACTGAGCTTATTTCTTGTAAAAACAGTTTGAAATTCACTTGAGGACTGAAAAGTATCCTTTTGTAAAATACAGAAACATTGAAAAATGTGAAAATCTTAATTACCACGTTCTGCTTAAAATGTGGTGCATGTGAAATGTCCTGTGCTTGTTTTTGTAGCAAGAACTAGATTTTTAAAAACGTTCTTTCACGAGAGACATAGACAAAGAGGAGAGAGGGAGGCAAGCGCTCTCAGGACGGTCTCATGCACAGTCCTTCCCACAGGCCAGCCGCAATCATGGGTGCGCCCGCGTGAACCAAATGTGCACAGGTCAGCTGGGAACTGAACCCCCATCTTCCATATGGCTCCAGCAGTGTGGAGCACCACACCACCACCGCTGGGCCACAACCGCAGATTGTCTGTTTGTCCTTTACTGAGACTACAAGATTTGAGAATTGCTAGATTTCACTGTTCATAGCTTCATAAAACCTACAACGGTTGATGTTAACTGAGCAGATGGGACCAGGGACTGCATGGCTGACAAAGGGGGCTCGGGCTGTCTTACCTGGCAAGCTGTGACCACATGTTATACTTCTTATTTGAACTCTCAAAGAGCTCTCTGTTGCCTGTGAAAAGCAGCATCTGAGTTGGACAGACACATTAGCCTTGTTACTTTTGCACTAGGAAAACAGATTATAACATAACTTGGCAGTTCTTCAGTGTGGTATATTTTAATATTTGCAAATAATCAGTTACTTGTGTTCATAAACCTGTGTTTCACAATTCTGGCCAGATGCAGCTTTTTCATTTGTTTTACGGCAAGGCCTATTGTTACATTAAGAATTATGCTGCCTTAGAAATTCAGTGGACATGTAGTTGAATAAGGCATATTTCAGAGAGCTTTTATTTGCAGAACTAGAAACTATTGTAATTCTTACCTACCTTTCCATTAACTATGACTTACGTAATGTGAGCACAGATTTTCACCATTTATAGCTCCTTTCAATATTGTTTGCCAAATCACTGGATTTTTTTTCTTTTACTCTTTTTAACTTGGGGTGCTTTATTTCTATTCTCTGAAACTATTTCCTGCTCTTACAAGTCTCTGTTCTTTCTCTCCAACCCAGCTATCCCAGATGACAGTATTTGTCTTCAGCAGAATTTTCCCAGAACAAACATGGTCCAGATCAGATACATAAAATTAGTTTCTTATTTTAATGTGAGACATAGACACTACTTAGAAATGTGTTTCCTGGAGGGAAGGAACATTTTTTTTTTCTTTACCAGCTTATTGTCCCTCTTCCAGATTTCCCTGCACACTGAACTTGGTAGAATGTGGTAGACGGAAAGGGCCTAGTGCCACCACCAGTGAAGATCATTGCTGATCAGACTCTGGGTCCTGCTTCTCAAACAACCGCTCACAACTTTGACAGAGATGATCATTTGATTCTGAAACATGAACAGTTAGCTAAATTTATTTTCTTTTGATGCATTTGTGTTGGTTGGCTCACAATCATGAGTAAGGTATTCTTACAGAATTTGAGCCCCTTGGGAATAAGGTCCTAGGTAATTTTGCTGTTGACTACCTTGTATACAGTAAAGTTGCAGAATGTGTTCCTAGATAGAAGATCAGTTCATTTGCTTCAGTTTGTCCTTGAACCCAGCTTAGCCCATGAGCCAACTGGGTATTAGTCATAAATGAACAATCATACCTCAAGGTACAATGTGTTGAGAGGAGGCAAGTGATCTCCAAATAACTTAGTAAGATTAATATCTCAGTAGCCAAAATTCCCTTTCCAGACCTTAACTCCAGATCTGTTGTGAATCCTGTTGACCAGGGCTTCAGATTTGTTTTCCAAAGCATTAATGAGGTGTACAGTTGGTGCTGTTGGTAGGAGCATGCTCATTGGAGAGAAGCAACTGCGGGATTTCTCCAGTATTGATTTACGTGTGTGTGTGTGTGTGTGTGTGTGTGTATCCAGGCCAAATGGTCATTGAATGCTTGCTTAGAAAGCGTTGAGCCAGCTTTTCTAATCATTGTGAGGAACAATAAACATTTTCTGATGTTTAGGAAGATTAGACAACATTTTTGGAGACTTTCCCAGTTAAACCTATGACCATGTCAATTTGATGAGTGCAATTAAGTTTTTCAGAAAAAACTGCAACACAAAATTGAAATGGGCCAGTATGTCAGCATTCCACCTGGAAGATACAGTATATTGGGAAACTTTATGCTTCTCTAAATAAGTATATGTTATTAAATAAGCCATATCACAGTTAAGAAATTGTATATACTTTTCCATATGCCTCTGCAGAAACCAGATATTTTGCATATAATTGATTTTAGAGATTTTGAAGTTGGGGTTTGTCCATGTAATTAAGATAACAATATATGTATATGTACTGTATTTGCAATTTTCAAACTGTAATTTCCTATACATTTATTAAATAAAGTGTTGCTTTGCCTTGTGGTTTATTAAAAAATGAAAATGTTCAGTCCCTTAAATTTCTGCTGTTTTTATTGACTAAGTAGGCTTTAAAACAGACTCTCCTTAAATAGAAAAGCATTGGAAGATAGATCACAATCTATCTAGTTTGTTAATCTCAGGTTGTAATGCTCTCTCAGATGTTTAAGAAATAAACCTGAAAAAAGTCTTCCGGACAGGCCAAAAAGGGCACTAAAAGAACTTGCTCATTTGATACCAGTCTCGCCATGTCCGGAAAGTCCCAGGAACAATGGCAAGAGGGAAGGTTAAGCAGTGGTGTAGGCCCACAGGTGGAGTAGTGCTTAAGGCACTGGACTCCCATGTGGTTGACTATGGTTCCAGTCCAGGGCCCGGTTGCCTAAAATTTAGGCTGGGCACGTGTGCCCATAATCCTGAGGAGAATGGAGAAGGGATTGTGGCATGGACATCCCCCTAGAGGATGACTTCTCTCTTTCTGTCTCTGGCAAGCACACATACCCTATAGCAAAGAATTTGTCCCCAAAAGAGCCTCAGTGCAGGGCTGGCAGGTGATGTAGTGGTTAAAGTTACGGGATTCCCACATGGCTCGCAGTGGTTTGAGTCCTGGACCTAGTGGCTTGCTTTCTCACCTCTCTGTCTCTGGTCAGATTTAAATAATAATAACAAATGGAGTTACATAAATAGATCATTCATTTTTAAAAAAAACTGAAAAGCTACAGTGTAAGTGAGATGGGTGGGGCCCATCCAGAAGTCTGAGAATCATGCTACTAACTCTCCAGGAGTGAGGACCAGGGGCCAGCAAGCCATGCTGCCTCCCAGGACAAATCTAACCCACAGCCTGTTTTGTTTGGTCCAAGATCTAAGAATGGTTTTTATATTTTTGAATGGTTAAAAAAAAAATCAGTAGAACTATATTTAGTGACGTGAAAATTATATGAACTGTAACTCCAGTGTCCACAAAGCGTTAACTGGAACACAACAGACTCGTTCAATTATGTATTGTCTATGGCTGCCATTGTGCCACTGTGGCAGAGCAGTTGTAATGAATCTCAAATATTTACTCTGGCTCATTACAGAAAGGTTGACCAACCCCTGGTGTAGACTTGTACCCATCTGAGGCTATACTCACATATGAGGAGCAGCCATTCTCCCAGGGCCCACGTGGCAATTTCTGTGGCTGGTAAATGTGAGACCATCAGACTCACCAAATGTTCTTTTCCTCCCCTGACCTTTTATTGTATTTTTAAATCTCCCTTTGGGCTTAGGACAGAAATTCAAGAAAAGAGTAGCAAGATTTCATTTCCATTTTACCCACATGCCATATGCTCTGCATTTACTAGCTCTTAACACTTACGAGCAAACAATTTTTCCACAGCATAACATGAGCACCAGGATTATTCAAGTATACTTTTCAACATAAGAGCTTATGTACTCGATTTTTAAATTTTTCAATTATAGC